TATCCATATAACTAACTACATACAGTGTGCGCTGTTTATTGCTGTTGCACAACGCGCTTACGCTACAGACAAGTGATGAAGACATGATTTGATAGCGCGGATTACAAAATGGAAGAAGAGAGAGAAAATAGCAGGGGAAGAAGAAGAGACAGGTCAGAGAAAAAGACAGAGTGTCCAAAGCAGGGAATCATTTCAAGCTAAATGAAAACAACTCTACAGTGTGCCTACTGTGTAGCCTACCACAACAGCTCCACAACACTGCTTCAGCATCTGAGCAGAAAGCATCCGGTCTATGCATTGAGTCCAAGGAGCGGACCTTAAAACAAGTTAACGTTAACGTCAGTATTTACATAAATCATGATTGCTAGTTGAGATGAAGGTTAGCAAAGGTAAGGCGCAATTCTTGGTTGTAAATGTGCATTTGTTGTTATTGTTCTCGGACTGTTTAGTCCGTGAGTTTGGGTTGTATAGTGATATGAGTTACACACCTGGTACCAAGGACACCAAGCAAAAGTATTTCTTAACCCCGAGATTTCCACAGTGTGGTGCGCGTACCCCTGAGGGTGCATGAGCTGCCTCTAGGGGGTGCACGACAGGAAAAATGTAATTGTGGTGTAGTAACGTAATAACTACAACAATTATTTTTTTGTGGAATTTTTCATGAAATAAAAACCTGTATTGAAAGCTTTTCTATGTAAATTTAAGATTAAAAATGTTAATAATAGTCAGCTCACTCGAAATGGCTATTTACACACTACTTTCCCGCTCCCTCTTCTCAATTTATACTTATGCATCAAATCGACGGCGTAGGTGATGGCGTAGGTGACGGCGTAGGTGACGGGGCTATGTAGAGGCTACACTGTCGCCTGACGTGCACCTCCTCAAAAATGTAACTACACGTCGAGTCGACGTGGACCGTAAGCTCTGTGATTGGTCGGCTGGGTAGCCTCGCCATAGAGAGCCTAAGGCACTCACTTCCGCTTCCGGCTCATGGGACCTTATTTTGGAAAAATTATGTACGGTAGTCAATGGCAAGAGACAACTTATCTTTTTATCCTGTTAGAATTGAACCCTGAATTACAGTTGGTCAATTTAAAATAGAATTTTGCAAGTAAAGAAAGTCGCATTTTGTTGTAAAACAGTAAAATTACATATCATTTTGTGTGAAATTGCTCAATGAACTGCATCTCTCGTCTCGCACAATATACCTCACCAACATGTTAGCGCGGTAAAGCTAGCTAATGTTCATTGCTTTCTTGCTACTAGCTAGATAATGTAGCTATGTTCCACGCAGAAATATATCTCGCCTGATGGGTTTAATCCAACGACTCCTGGCTCTTTTATCACATCATCCTCTCATGTAAGTGTTTTGATGTTAGCTTCAGTAACGTTAGCTTCAGTCATTGACATAGAAAGTTACAACGTCACATACACGACTTTTGGGTTTGTGGTCTTTGTAATTACGTATTTTCACAGTCTTATATCTCAACAGTTTTACATCAAACTACAACCTTCTTTAATTTAAAATCTGATCTTTGTTGATTAAAAAGATTTAAACACTTTAAATTAAAGAAGGTAGTAGTTTGATAACATATTGCATTAAAATTGCTCCCCTGACTTCAAAAAGACTTGAAACTAAGAATTAAAAGTCAAGAATGAAAGAAAGTGCAAGAATGAATGATCAGTTGGTACTTGTCATTGTGCGTAGGCATTTTAATTTTGTTTAATTATTTGACACAAATGTATATCTTATATGGTTATCTTTTCTTTTTTTGCTGCTGTCTCAGCCAGGTCTCTCTTCGTAACACTTTGCTGATCTAAACAGGTCTTACCTGGTTAAATAAGAAAATAGAAATAACACATTTTGCAACATTAAAGCATAAGGATCAAATAAATAAGGCCTTATGTGTTGCCGTCTCCCCTCCTTACACAGACCGTCTCCAGAGGGGGCATGGCTTGTGTGATGTACTGATGTTCATATTTTTAGAGAGTCTGAAAGATGCAGATAAACTTCCTTATCACCCACAGTTGGTTGCACATCTTTTGAATTAGTTTGTTCAAAAATAATAAAAGTGGTCTACAGTCTTAGTCTTACACGCTGACAAATCTTCATTAAGCGGGCTACTGCTTATTCTCAAACCAGTTATAGAAAAACTGGTGCTCAGTCCAGGTTGTTATGACATACACAGGCAATGTTCAACATGTATATGCTCATGAATGCTTCTGGTGTCACCTCTCATCTTTAAAGAAAGGGAAATTCAATTTGGTAAAATGTTAACAGCAAAGGAGCAGTTTTAAACTCTGGCTCCATTTCCATGCATAATAATGAAGCAACAAAGAAACTAAGAGTACATCAGAGTAACCATCTTGGATGCTAATGGCTGCTGCTGTGCTCTAAACTGCTCTCTAAATTCTGGTTTAGTAGTGAAAATGCTGTTTTCATTAACCTCTGGAGAAAGCCTGACAAGTGCAGCAGATTTTAAGCTCAGTTTTCCCTCCACTGATTACTCCTGAGAGAAAAACTTCTTTAACTGAGGAGCCCCCCCCCCCCCCCCAAGTCCAAATTTTGTGGAAATATCATGTTAGAGATATGCAACTTCACACACTGCAGGAAGTAATCATGAATTATTGATTAGAATCTCTTCTCCATGCTCCCAGGATAGATGCCACTAAGACGGAGCCCACTGAGACGGGGCATGCGGTGCACACAGATAATCAAATGAGAAATCACACTGTTGTACAAAAACACACACACACTACAAGAATCCTGCATGAAACACAGAATACAACAGAATGAAATCCATACATGTGCACACTAGCGCACGCTAGATCCTGACTAGTAATGACACAGCATTAACAGTCCACGTGGTGTGTGTGTGTGAGCGCTGCTATCATTGTTTAATGGGGCCTTTGTTGTGATAGAAGTTGAATGACACTCAGACCAGAATGTTACTCATTTAGCCCAAAGGACAAAGCAAGGCAACAGAGGGCCCTAAAACAGTCTCCTTCTAGTCCCATCCTGTGTCTCTAAAACAAGCACGCATGAGCTCCCCCCCGACCAGTCCACCATTATTAAACCCTGTGACCCTGTTCTACAAAGCCCAGGAGAAATTGACAGAAGCTCTGGAGAATACACATGACAGCAGATTTTCCATCTCTTTAGCAATTACATTTTATTAATTCATTATTTGCTGGTAGAATGGAAAAAAATATATATATGCAGCTCAGAGTGTGGTGTTCAAAGAAACGTCCGTGGACAACAGATGGGTTTGTGACCAAAACAAAGTCCTACATCTGAGGTCTGATCCAAGGAGCAGGTTGACTTACAGTAGTGCCATATTTTTGCATAGTATAGCACTGAATGGGTCTTTTAAAATCATGGCTTTTACTCAGTTACCTTGACAAGCTTTAGCCAACCAAAATGTACCACCACCATCACCTGCAAAAGGTCAACGATGATGAATTATTCATTGTCTCCACCCACTGTCACTGAAAACTCGTCCATCTGGTGAGATTAAATGAAGACCAGTGATTTAACCAATTACCGATTGTTTATTAAGCATCATGTGGGCTTTGACTATCTGTACATTTCTGCAGGTGATACCTTTCACTGTAAGTAGTATCATCATAAAAGGAACTTCATAGGCAACGACAGAAATCAGAGATTAGAGCTGAAACATTTAGTGAAATCGACTGAAAATGAATTGTTTAAAATGACAAAAGCATCTCTAGTTCCAGCTTCTCAAATGTGAATTTTTGCTGGTTCTGTCTTCTACATCAATAAAACGAGTATTATATTTTTTAAGTCTCTTTTAAAACACACACTTTTATCGAGGGCTTTTCCTGATTTTATCTGAGCTAGTTTATTTTCTCTTCTATCATGTGTAGTTGATTGTTATATTTTATTGTGATTTCTCTTTTGTTATCTAATTTGTCCTCATGGATTTTAACCTACACGGTAGTATTTCATGTCATCTTCTCTCTGTGTTTCTTTTGTGAAGCACTTTGTACTTTTGTTTGTGGAGTATAGGAATAAAGTTTATCATCATCATCACCACCACCACATGTTTGTGTTGCTGGGAGAAAACTGGCAATCTGAAGGTGTCACCTTCAGCACTGCTTACTTATTGACAACTAGCTCTAGAAAATCTAAAAGAATGACACCAAATTGAGACAGGGTGAAGCAATGGTGTGGATTAGGGGTGCAACTAATAATTCAAGTGTCATCTACAAAATCTCTTGTTTTGTCTGACCATGAGCCCAAAACCCAAACACCTTCAAAATCAATTCAGCAAATGTTTTCTCGTTTTAGTTTTAAAAAATTGACAACACCGATTAATCGCGTATCAGAATAGTTGCCAATGCTATTGGTCCAATCACTGAATTGACCAGTTGTTTCAGCTTAAATGTGGATGAGACTGAAAAACTGCAGCCATCTCTGGTAAAACTGGCACGACATCACACGTTAACACTGAATGTGTATCTGAGAGGAGGAACTGAGACATTAACGTTATGTAAATAAGAAGGAATATTATATCATATAATCAAAGTGTTTGACAATGCTCGGTCTCAGGCCAAGTCACACCCAGTTGAGGAGCTACACTGACTCAAGGATGAGCTAATCAATAGCTTCCTGGCAGGGACCTGCACCTGCTACATCATATCTACAGACAGAAAGCTGCAACCGGCCCGGTCCGTCGTATATATTTTATGTATTAGCGGCTACACGGAGGCAGCCGGGAAGAACAGCCCTGTTTAACTTGCCAGCACCAGCTGACATGAGGCTGTGGGCTAAACTGCTAGCTAGCATGTGTGCTTGAATGCTAGCCAGTTAGCGAGCTAAGGTGTGCGCTTTAGGCTGATGGACCGGGTGAACCTTATCCCGGACTGGCTGGCAGGTCGGCTCCAAGAAAGCACAACAGGCGAAAGAATGCAGCCCCGGTGCCAGGCAAAGGGAGAAACCCGGTCTCAGTGTAAACATATTAGCTGGTCTGTGGTACCTTTGTCTCCCTGATGTCCTGCTTTCCTCCTTCAGGGTACCACTGGACGCGGACAAATCCCCTAACAAGAGGCCGACTCGGGGTGTCCACGGCGCTTTCAGTGTCCGAACCACACGGAACTCGTCCTCCACCTCCACCTCCACCACCACCTCCTCCTCCTCCTCCTCCTCCTCCACCGCCACCACCACCTCTCCCACCGCCATCGTCGAGGTCCGAGTCTGAGTTAAAATCCTCCTCGCCGTGAATCATCCGTACGAGGCCAAACCGGACTGAGCCGCGGTACCGCCCGGAGACCAGGTCGTGGGAGAAGAGCAGCCGCTGGGAGCCGTCCGCCGTGGGGGACAGAGCCATAGATGGAGGCTCCGAGCCCGGGCTGCCTGCGGGAGAGAGGGTCGGGGATGCAGCTGCTGCTGCTGCTGTCGCTGTGGCCGCCGCATCCGCTGCTACGGGCTCCGCCATCGCTGCTGTTGTCAGGGAGTGATGCTAGAGCGCGAGGATGACGGTGGACTGAAAAAACGTAACCTGAAAGCAGCAAAGTGCACGTGTTTACGTCGCGACGCAGAGCGTCGTAACGCAGGGTGGGTGCGTCATCACGCAGTACCGTCCAGCACTACAGAGTGACGTGGTGCGCGCTTCAACAGGGGCGTTGTTGACAGACATGCAGGAATTTATATTCAATAAAACTGGGTATCCTGTTGTAATTGTGAGGAGCGTAAAAAACTGTAAATTCTGTTTTTATTCATTTAATTTTTATGAAAACTATTTAACTTATTGTTTATATATATATATATATATATTTCCTAGATATATTTTAACCATTTGCACCATATAGCCTGCTAAAAGACGTCTGTGACTGTGGATCTCTCTGTGTGTGTGTGTGTGTGTGTGTGTGTGAGAGAGAGAGAGAGAGAGTGTGTGTGTTTGGAAAAACAGCAACTTGTGGTGTAGGACATGTAATAACAAAAAAAACGTAAACATAAAATAAGGTCATGTTTATTAAATCATTCTTTTATATTTCCACCCAAACACTGCCAGTTGGCGCTGCTGGTAATACAAAAAGAAAACAACTTGTTTTTCTTTAAGATGGACCTTCTAGTTTTGTTCCGGAGAATCTCTAACATGATATTTCCTTGCAAGAGTTAGGAGATTGTGAATACAGACAGACATCACATTTTAAATACAAAGACTGCCTCTGTGTTTGTTTGTTTATGTTTTTTGTGTGATTGTTTTCTGTTTATTGTGAATACAGATCTATTACAGACCTCAACACCAAAAAACATACTGTACATGAGAACAGTTTACCACAGTTCCTGTTGGTAAACTGAAAAAAAACCCAATCCCAAGAATACTGGAAACCTTATTTTAAAAGAGTGTACCAAGAAAGGGTTCCTACAATTTAAGCTATGTGTTTATCTGGAGATGGAGATTATTTCCAGCCTTGTGACCTTTCCAAGGACTTCACCTTCTCTGGCACTGGACAACTGTGCTGCCTCCCAAATACAAATAACAAATGTGAAAAAAACGCAGTAAAGCTCTGAGCCCTGCTGTCGTTTGATTTTAAAAAGTGGGCTTTGTCCTGTGGGAAAGTTAAGTAAAGTTTGGTTAGAGAGGAAATCAGCTGTCCATAAAACCACTTGAAATTCTCAACAGCTTATTTAACACTGAAGAGGTGACAAACAAACTCCCACGCGTCCTGTAATCCTCTTACAGATCTGGAAAATAAGTGCGGAAAGCTCATGAACTCGACTTAAAGGCACAATGGACAGCCGATGGGAAGCCTCCCCCATAGAAATCACATGGAGAGAGGTGAGTCGAGTCCTTACCATGGCCCAGTTAAACACACAGACAGCACCCAGTCTCCTTGGTGTTACAACATTAATTAACACTAATGGTAAACCAATCGCATAGCTGTAAGTTTTCCATCATCCACTCTGTAACCAATGTGAGTCACTTTATTGGACGTAATACCTGAAACGACTCTTGATAATATGTCGTTAAGCACATCAACACCACACCAAATCTTGTCTGAATGTGGCACGACGAGGATAATTCTCAACACACGAATAGCCTATCCCTCCTGACCCCGAATAACTATGTTTACTGTTCCTTGCTCACGGGGGATGGAGGGTTTGGTCATCCAGCTCGCCTTGGGATTATAATCAGCCACTCCTGCGCACTATAAAGACTGACGGCGCGCCACTCTCTGCTCAGTCTTCACCACAGTCCTGTTAAGCACGGACCAGACACTCAGACGAGGGTGTGAGCAGTAAGAAAATCGGAGAGTAAAATCTCTATCCTTTGCTTTCCTTTAAAATATTTTGGTTAAAACAAACGAACAGTACGACCATGTCGGTGATGAGCGCTGTGCCGTTCATGAAGCCGCTCCACATGCGCTCCCCGGTGCCGCAGGGCCGCCGCCACACGCTGCCGGCCAGCGAGTTTCGCTCCCTCAGCCCGGAAGATGCCATCAGCGTGTTCGAGATTGAGAGAGAAGGTAAGCAGGGTCTTTTACTGAATTATGTCATGCATTATTGGCTGTCTTATTAATGACTTCAGGACAGTTATTTTTGGCACATTACGCACACAGGAACTTTTCTTTCTTTTACAGTGGCCTCATTTTATGTTTTCATTCACATATTGACTAAAAAAAAATTAACCTCCACTCACTGAAAATAACTCTCCTTTATTAACATAAATTACATTTAAAGAAAATAGTAAGCTTCTCTTTAAGTTGACTTACTTTAAAGTTAATACAGGGATTTCACTCTTTCCTAAATGCCCCCTCATAACATCCCTGGCTGTGATCCAGCTTATATCCTTTTCTCACATCTTCATATTTTTGGTATTCAGTACATAGGGACCATTATTCCCACTTGTGTCATCCAGGCTTCTTAATTTATAACATTTGGTTGTGACAACACTGACTCCTCCTCCTCCTCACAGCCTTCATCTCAGTGTCCGGGGAGTGTCCTCTCCACCTGGACGAGGTGCGTCATTTCCTCACCCTGTGTCCTGAGCTGTCTCTTGGCTGGTTCGAGGAAGGACGTCTGGTGGCTTTCATCATCGGCTCATTGTGGGACCAGGAGAGGCTTACCACGGTGAGACAGAGGGGAGGACACCTGGACAGTGATTTACCTCAGGATGACTGGCAAGGGAAACACAAGATGAGGTTCAAAACAGATTAACAGAAGATATTTTGAAAGATCTAAGGGAATATTTAGGGTTAATGAGGTCGGAAATTCAGTGGGTGAGGATAAATGTTACACAGATCCACCTAAATCTCTCTGGGAATATTCAGATTGTTGGGCATAAGGTTCAGCGGCCATGAAAAACATTCTTCTGGGTTTTCTGAAAATTGTGATAAAAACTCCTACTGCTACGTACTTTCAGAGCTTTTTCGTGCTGCAGTAAAACTGAAATGCTTTACAAGATTCAATATTCAAAAGTTTAAATTTGAAATGTGAAGCAAAGGCAGGTCTGCATACGATTGAGGCTGTGCATACAATTAAGAATAATAATTACAAAAAGTAAATGTACAGGGCAGTGCAAAGGATTCACAGAAGACAAAGGGTCCAGGATATACAAAGGTCAGAGGTTACAGTGTGTGAAATTAAAATTTAACTTTTTAAATGTTGAAACCAGGTTTTTAATGCTTATGTATGGGTTGAATATCATGCCATGTTTTGAAACTGAAAAAAGGAAGATTTGAACAAATCTTCAGAACTTCAAAACTTAGTTTTGATCTTGCAAAACCTTTTCATGTACGGACAGAAGCTATCGACGGTTCAACCTTTTACATCTTTTTTTCCACTCGCGAAACATGGGATGTTATTAATCCGATATATTTGAAGCTCCAAAGATATGTGTTTTAGCTCACTTTTGAATTCATATCATATTGAATTCAATTCCACGATACAAATAGCATCCTATCCCCATTGACTGAGACACATTCGGTTTCTCTTATTTTCCCAAATGTGATTCTGGTGCCAGAGTCGCTCGACTGCCCCACAAGTAGTCAGGAATCCGAGCTTAACTTTACAATCACATGTAACTTTGCTAAACAGAGGCCACATATGTAACATTACAGGAAATGCTAAGATGTACAGTGTAACAGTAGAGAAGAATCTTAAAGTCAGCGACCTTTATCAGTAATGTTCATTAACTTACATAGCTATCACAGCAAAAGTTGGTTAACGTTAGCTAACATCGGCCGCCGTAAGCTACCGGTCATACCAAAGTAAGGCTGTAGCGGCAAATCCCCTCAGCGGGTTGTACTGAGCAGCGGTGGGCTTTATTGCTTATGTATTCAGTTTCTCTCTTCCAAAGTTACACTGTCTGGATTTAAGACTGAAGTACCAGCTGTCTCCCGAACAGCAGTGTGAAAACTGGACTCTAAACGGACTCTTTCAACTGCGTGTTCCTTTTGGTAGTTAAAACTTGTCAATAAAGCCCAACAGGTTTCCCAACAATACAACCCGTCCTTACACCTCTGCAATCCCTCTCGGTTTCCCAGGATGCCCTGACTCTCCATAAGCCTCATGGGACCACCGTCCACATCCACGTCTTGGCCGTCCACCGGACCTTCCGCCAGCAGGGCAAAGGCTCCATCCTGATGTGGCGCTACCTGCAGTACCTCCGCTGCCTGCCCTACGTCCGCCGCGCTGTGCTCATGTGCGAGGACTTCCTGGTTCCCTTCTACCAGAAGTCAGGTTTCAAGGCGCAGGGCCCCAGCGAGATCACTGTGGGGCCCCTTGCCTTCATCGAGATGATGTACCCAGTCAGGGGCCACGCCTTCATGCGTCGTAACAGTGGCTGTTAAGAACAGAGGGAGTTCATGTGGATTCTCCTTGGCTATCAGTGATGGTGGTGGACTCCCCCCTTGGAGACAGGATAAGGGGACGTCAGAGCAGCTTTGTTGTGCGCGAGCGACCAACGCCGTGTTTGTTATCATCGCTGAGTGAGACTTGTTCAGCAAGCAGTGAGGTGCTGACTGAGCCTGCAGAGAGCCGAAAACAAAGAGCTGCCATCCGGCTGCAAAACAACAGCTGTTTGGGAAAAGTGGTTCGGAAACTACAAATATATTGATCTGTAGTTTAGTATGAGTGAAAACCAAATCATTAGAGCGAAGTCCTGAAAGAACATTACAATTCTGTTTTGGTATAAAACAATTTTATTTTTGTTTAGACACATTTGTTGTTGTTTTCATTAGAACTCAGCTGCCCTGTTTCTTTCTTCTCGCTCTTTTTTTAAATCGAACATGGATTCTGGCTCTCTATGAAGCCAATAAAACCAGTATCTGCCCATTACTAATGCATTCTGTCTGGTACAGTTTTGTTTTAACAGTATGCCTTTCACACCAGCATTAGAAGGTTACTGTTACGCTTTGTATGATAATGATTTGATTATGATAAGGAATATGCCAAAGTAAACAGTTAACCTTCACGGACTATGGAATACAAGGGAGTGATATCAGTAATCAAACTTCAGAAAATAAATCAAAATGTTAAATTGGACATGTCTGTTGTTCTATATTAAGATTTGAGTGGTCCTGTCTGTCCATCAGTGACTGTAACAAAAGCCTGTGGCTGCATTGTGAGCATGTCTGTCATGTCTAGGTGTGAACAGTACGTGACGTATTTTAAAGAGCAAAATATATCCTTTCATAAAATACATGTACTTTCCAGATTTCTCCTTCATAGTTTCTTCTTGCCTTTTCCCTTGTAGACAATCACCACTTCTGCCTCCCAAAGTCTTGAATCAAGACAAATGTTTTGTTTGTTTTTTACGTTTCAGTGTTAAAATAATAAAAAAAGTTCTATTTTCTAGCACTTTTGCTTTTAGGTCTTTTCATTTACAATCACTGCAAGGTGCTGTCGTGGTATTGCAGATTTTTAAATTGCCATTATTTTTCTGAGCTCTTTAAAGCAACACTATTGTACCTTAAAATAACAGCTTCTGAATCACTTTGATGGGACACTGACCTGTAATAAGGAGAATGGTGCCTTGTGTTAACAAAGTCGTTGGGCTCGCTAGTTTTTGATCATAAGCCAAACCCAAATCATTCTGCTTCTCGACCACATAACAGTAATGTTGCTTTAAGGACTTCTCGGCCATGTTCGCATGAAAGCTGATGTTTAAAGATGGAAGCAGCAGTTGAGAAAACAATATCAGAGCAAGGGCCATTTAGTAGCTTTTCTGGGGCTTTCAATTATGTCGCATTATTTGAAAGGTTTAGGGACAGGAATTAAGCATTTGGGATTGTTGTTGGATTAACAACATTAAAGTAGATACAGGAAAATATAATTTGCAGTTATTCTTCCTTTAATGTATAAATTCAAAATTTCTCACTGGCGTTGTGACAAAAGCAAAGAAAACTGACAGACAAAACAAGTTGTGATGCCAGATACAAACAGTGTTCAGTAGGTAACTGGGACAAACATTAAATTAAACTTCTCACTTAAACACACTAACAAACCTCATTATCACTAGAATGGCATTTATTTTGACATGACTGCTTTAACACACATAGATTTTCACATATAAAACTGAAATTCATTGGAAACTTTTTATTCCTATAAACAGAAAAAGGGTGAATGTATTTGGTCCCAGTGCACACAGCACATTGAAGATGTGGGTATTTGTGATTCAGATCAAACACTCACATGCTCACGTCAAAAAGGCACAGTAAAGAGGTTTCCACTTTGCCCGCTTCTTGTATGAGGGCGGCATCTTATGTCACAGATGACCTTCACAATCTAAATACAGTCATGGTATAACGGATTAAAATATTTGAATTATCCAATATACAAACTACTCTGCATGTTTTTCCCCCACAACTCTCAACAACACTAGACAATCAGTGAGAGAGCGCCACAGACAAACTCACATAATCTCATAACTCACTTAGTTACTCACATAATCCTCTACACACGAGTCATTACCGGGACTTTACTTAACAGTTGGGGTCAACACACATTGCAGGATCATGAACGACAACAAACTAGATCCAAGACAAAAGCCGGGAACCTGTGAGGGAAATATTTCACTTCAGGTGTTAGGACTTTTGAAATCACACTGTTACACGTATCACATTGTTAGGGACCCACCCGAAAAGCAACAATCTACTGTGGGTCAAGGACCACAGCAACAATAAGCCGCTAGGGTCCAGACAATGTACGCGTAGGGGACCATATTTTGTATAGTTTGAAGAAAATCCTATGTCTGCGGCAATGCCACTTTTTAAAATCATCTTCCTGGTATTGTTTTTATCAAGGTGAGTGTTCACAAGTATACCTGGTAAAAAATAAGCCTTTTATGGTACATTTCACAAACATATTAAGGCTCAGATTAAACACAAATTACATGTTGTGATTCTGTGGCTGTTTGCTTTCAAAAAATACAATAAAAACCTGCTTTGGTCTAAATATTGTTCATTTACAAACTGGTTTAGGCACCATTGTGACAAACATGCCCAAATATAAGACATTGAAGCAGAGCTTGTGTTTGTGGCAGTGATAAAACTAAGTGATTGTGAAAAACAACATGCAGCATGTGAAGTTGCTTTGGTAGGTTCGGGTCAGAAATGTGTTCATCATTGTTCACAAGCAGTTTTCAAAAGTAAAATGAGGCATCGTTGTAAAATGGCATTGTCTGTTTAAGGCAACTAGTGGTTTTAGATAGAAATCAACCACTTGTTATTTGACATTAACTAATCCAGCTGCACAGTTAATACACATTTCACTCCTCCAAAGAATATTGACATGCCCAGTACGTACATACAAAACAGTGGAGATAAAAAAACAAAACAGTTTTTAACTCCTGAAAGTATTTCACCAGACACTGAGATGCAGCAGAAGTGAATGACAGCTTTTGTAGTGTTACTGAAAACAAGAATTAGTAGCAGGAAGCATCTGATGTATCTGAGTTCACTGGGCCACAAGGTACCTAATAGCCCACTGTGGCACCAGCCTTCCTTTTCTCAGCTGTTAGTCGTCCAGAGTTCAAGGAGATGATGAGAGTGATTGTAGACAAGAGGAGTCTTCTTCTATCATTTGGCTTCTTTAGATTGATGTGACTTTTCATGAACTGAAGGAACCAGACAGTCTCTTGCTCTGTAGATCTTTTCCATTATGTCCACCCAGCTCTACGCAGTTTTGTCGTCCTGAGTATCTTTTCCTGTCCTCTGATTCTGAGGATTAGCAAATTAACAAGATAGGCAGTGCCAGACTTGACTGAGGATTAAAAGGTTGAGTAAAGTTTTACAGAAGTAAGCAAGTCAGCAAGCTGAAGAGAAGAGATTGATCCAGTTCCTTTCAAAAGGACATTGATCAGGTCCTTTAATCTTTTTTTGATAAAATAAGATTGTCACATTTTTAAAAAGGCCTGACCTGGAAACAGCTGACCTAGTCATTGGCTAGAAGATAGCAGATCAGTAGCACAGAGGATGTAGTCATAAGTAGCCTAGAGACTATTGTACCACATCGTTAATGTTGTGGTCTATGTCGTACTTTTCACAGAACTTGCTTGTGAAGGGCAGACAGGTGAGATGCTCCAGCCAGTGCCAGTTAATCGGGTAAAAATAAAACCAGACGATGAGCGAAGAGAACAGCCCGATGTAGGCCAACATTGAGACAGCAATGAGTATACGTTTCCGGTACTTGTCAAAAGTCCCGAAGGTGACGTAGGGCAAGAAGGCAAAGGAGAGCAGCATGCCGCTGAGGAAACCAAAGATGTGGGCGATGTTGTCGATCCACGGCAGGAGGCCGCACAGGAAGAGGAAGAGGACGATACACACCAGTTTGAGAAAGGCCTTCCACGGCTTCTCCAGCATCTGCCAACCTTGAAATAGCTCAACAAACAAGCAAGCAAGGAGTCCAAACTGAGACCCTGCTGGACCCACCTGGAGGGAGAGAACAAGAGACAAGTTACAAACTATTCTGTAATTCAACTTAAAAGCAAGTCATGAAAGGACGGACAAATGGTTTTAGTCCTTACAAAAAACAGAAAGAGTTCTTCGATATTCCCATTTGACACACATCATCACACATGTGTACGGGGGATATAATGATGTAGAACATTCGAAACAATTACAATTAAATCTTTTTTAAACAAATACGCATGAGTTAAAAAAATTTCAGTCCCTTTTCCTCAACAAAATAACTTAATATATCTTAATAGAAATATTAAATGGTAATTTGTTTGCGATTCAAATTAATTAAATCAAACATTTATTGAACATTTGTTATATTTATAGAGGAAAATTATATTGTGATAATTATAATTTTAATTTTATTGCCCAGACCAATATCAATGTGTTTTTAAATGTAAGTTATTATTTCTTTATTTTCAAAAAGGAATGAAAAAGTAGGGATGTTCGGCCACTGAAATTAATCGGCCGAAAATAGCAAAAAAAAGCAGTGTTTTGGCCTGAAGAGAGGCTATGAAGTCTTAATGTTACGCGATACGAAAACCACATACAACATTATTTATCAAATTGGGTCGGACTCGATGAATTTAGCGTGGGGATACATATGTGACAACGTCTGTTTTTCAAAATAAGGTGTCTATACAGGATGGAAATAAGATTAAATGGATTATAAAGTATAAGTATAAAACATATTACATGTGTACATTAAAAGTAAATGGACACATGTAATTTACTTTACCCCACCCTCTCGGGCCTCGGACCCACCAACCATATTCTCTGAAATCCTGTGCAAAACATTGAATAAAAAGCACATTTGACAATTTAATTTTTGCAATGGTAAAAAAAAGCAACATAAATGGGAAAAAATAGAAAAACCTTGTTCGGTATTCTGGAAAGTTTTTCATTATATTCGGCTTCGGCCAAGAATTTTCATTTTGGTGCATCCCTAGAAAAAATCTATTTGGGGAAATAATAGACATGCTTCTTTTTTAGCTCTGTTGACTGTGTTTCATCGACAGAGTGACCACCGCACTGAACCAGAAATAAAGTAAACCAACTGTAGCTACATGTCACGGGCAGACAGTGTGTTGTTAGTGCTATTGAAGAATAAGGAGCACACCAGTATCTAAAAAGAGCCAAGTGAGATTTGCAGGTCCGTTTACATGCCATTTAATGTGCTGCAGCTGAGAGGCTAATTAGCTACCTAGCCTGCAAGCTGATGGTAGCAGCGCACTTTTCCCTGTTGAATGTTTGGTCGCTCGTTCAAGACAAAGCAGGAGCAGGACAAAACGTGTTGTCATGTTTGTAAGTTAGATAAGAAGGAGACTTCAGCAGGGAAGCCCGTGGCTCTTGTGTTGTGCAATAGTCTGCTTTCTGACTCAGTGGGATTGTCTGCTCATGCAACGCTGAAATTGCTGCTTTATGCAAGATTTGATGGGCTGAATAGCAATAAGGTCTCCATCTATGTATCTATGTAAGGTCCATCTATGTAGACAGATACTGGAACGATATTCTAATAATCTGTCTAATAATGCCAAACTAGGGGGCACCATCCTGAAACCAAAAATATGCATTTCTCCCTTTTGGCTTTTCTCTCAAAAGGAGAACAGGTGAATCACAGGGCAAATATGTGCTGTAGCAGATAAAAAATAATCTTGACCATTGCCAGGAGACTTAATTCTGAACCCGGGAGTACTAACTGTTCATTAGTGAGTGAGGAATACCAACTCACAAACATCTCTCTCTGGTCACAATATAT